ACTAGAGAGAGAGAGAGAGCGAGAGCTGAGGGGTTTCCAGGTGTGACTGCAGGCTAATGTGAAGGTGGCAGAGGAACCAGAGGACCCAGCCTCAGCGACTCCACTGCCCAGGGAAAAATGCGCATGACCTGGGGAACAGAGGCAGGGGGTAACCCCCCCCTGTGTGTGTGTGTGTGTGTGTACAGTATATGTGTTGCCTTTAATTAGCTTCCTCTGTCATTTAGCCCCACAGGCTCCTGTTGACCTGCTGGTGACTTGAATACTGATTTTTACCTGCAGCAGAAAAACGTACCTGCTCTCACAGTTCTGTCTCCAGTGCTACAAGCTCGATGTTGAGCTGTCATTCAATTGGTTTTTTTTTCCCAAAGCGAGAACAACTTTTAACCTTTGTGACGCTCGTTCAATTTAAGCTCTGCAGAAAAAGCCTGAAATAATCAGATTGACTGAGTAAAACCAAGAAAACCACAGACTCACTGTCTTAGAAACGTTGAACTGAAACTCAGAGGGCGAAAGGTGAAGCTTCTCAGTCCTCTGCTACTCGGTGAAAAGAAAATGCAGTTCGATTTGTTTAGCCAAATGGAGTTTAAACTTTTAAAACTCAAATTAGAATCATAAAACAAAAAATAAGCTAACTAGCTCCATGTTTATGTACATTTGCAAACAACTAAAAATGATTCTTCGATTATATATCAGTCACACTTTGCTAAAGATTTATTTCTTTGTATTTGCATTTGTTCACACATGAGATTATTTCAGCTGCTTTCAGATACTTATAGTTTAATTCACATCTGACTGGTTATAAAAGTTTGTGTGTCTGTGTGTGTGTGTGTGTGTGCACATACTGTCTCACTTTCTCTTCTCTCCTCCTCTCTTGCTCTTTTTGTCATTTAGCATTCTTTAAGTGTTAGCACTCGAAAGCACCTGCCGGCCATGTGTGTGTGTGTGACACTCTGCTCTGCCGACAAAAACATTCTCCCTTGACGCACACACACACACACACACACACACACACACACGGGCAGTCATGCCAACACATTCACACTCTTTTCATCTCTTGCACATGAAAGCTTGCACACACACTGTGTGTCTGTGTGTGTGTGTGTGTGCGTTCACCCTGATATATGTGCCACTTGAAAAGAGCAGAGGGAAGGTGGAGGAGGGAGTGGTGGAGGTAGAGACTCCCACCCCCTCTGTTGACTACTTGAACTTCCTGGCAGAAGGGCCGTGTTGACAGATTGATATCTGCAAGATGGCCGCCCTGTTTGTTTTCTGAAAGAGGGAAGAAGAGGAGAAGGAGGAGGAAGGCGAACTGATAACCTCGACGTTTACACTGCCGCCATAGCACTAACGCAAGGGTCACTGACTGTGTGTGTGTGTGTGTGTGGGGGGGGGGGGGTCGACAAATTTCACCAGTGCTACTACTCAGGATTAACTCTGACACCCTTCATCTTCTCTCTCTCACACACACACTCACACACACTCTCCCCTCTGGGCGACCTCATGGTAAAAAATTGACTGGGCAGTAAATGAGCTTATAGATAATAGACGGCGGCTTTTTAAGGGCCCGACTGCAGCCATTTAACAGCCGAGATGTGCCGCTCGCTGACGTCCGCGGGCTTTTAGAGAGAGTGTGTGTCTGTGTGTGTGAGAGCTTCTCCTAATCCGCTCTTTCATCATGCGGAGGAGACAGTAGGTGCGGGTGACTTAGGAGGAAACTCTCAGATTTAACCTTTTGACCCGGAAACGAAAGCGAATGACCGAGAAAATCAGTTTGAGCTCGATCAAAAGTGTGTGTTTTCAAAAAAAGAGGAAGAGACAACAATCGGACAGGAGCCTTTGTCTGCAGGCACCTGTGTGTAGCTTGTCGTGTGTGTGTGTGTGTTCCTCACAGGATCTTCGGCAGGAAACCTTCCATCAGTCCTGTCTGTCTGTCACCGTTTTGATTTTATCTTGATTTTATAGACACACACACACGCACACACATGAAAACACACGCCCACAGCGCCTGAAGGCAGCTTTCACGCCTCACTTCCTGTCTCTTGCCCCCGCCCCTCTCCCCTCATACTCGTTCGTCAAATCTGTCACCTTAATTGGCCGCCTGAGTTGCTTTTCCTGAACCCAGTGACATAAAAACTCACACACACATACAGATGTGCTGAAGAAAACTTGGTGACCTGCAGACGTTTATCTCCTCGGTTTTAAAGAGATTTGAGTATTTTTATTGTTATGAAGAAGTTGTGATTGAAACTTTACAAATGTATAAAGATATTTCATGGGCCCCGAGGGGAAGTAAGAGGACCCTATCTTGATCTGGTGAACTCCCACTGACCTCCTTTCTTTCTGTGTGTCTCCTCAGAGCAATCCCTCTTAGAGGTCAAGCAGCAGCAGGTGAGCTCCAGTCCGTCCCCTGTCGCAGTGACACCCACCCCCCCAAAGAGGGAGCACAGCGTCCTGTCCATCCTGCGTGGCACCAACAGCACCTCGTCCGCCAAGAGGGAGCCCAGCCGGCCGCTTCCCACCCGCCCGAGCCGTGCCGACAGCCCCGAGCGCCCCCTGTACCCCCGCGCCCTCTACCCGGCTTTCAGGGGCCACCCTCACATCCCTGAAGACTTCCTGGGCCACAAACCTGGCCAGATGGGTTACCCTGCAACTCGTTCCCCTGGCAACCAATCCTCGGCGACACCTAGCCCGTCAGCGAGAAGTAGCCCAGACAGCAGCCCTCAGGGGAGTCCCTCTGGTGCTTTGCATTCCCCAGCTTCTTTCTACCCCCCAGGGCTGGGCTCCTACCCTGGTTACTCCCCACCTTCAGCCCCGCTCTCCTCGTCCTTTTACCCTCCAGGAACGCCCTACCCACGATACCTCCTGCCCCATCACTACCCTCTGTCTGGTGGTGGTGTCCCCACAGTAGGAGGGATCCTACCCCGGATGTACTCCCTCTACAGCAGCCTCCTGCCCACTCATGTGCCCATACTGCCCTCCGACACAGCAGGGAGGCGCTTCTTGATGCACGACCCCATCCACCCCTCCTCCATTTCTGCACACAGAGACTTCCTCCTCCCCGGGCCCACCAGTGCCTTCTCAGCTGCCACCTCTCTGAAAGACAACCCTTACCCTGGGCACCCTCACCTACACGAACCTGCCCGCGCCCCCTCCAGCGGCTCCCCGACAGCAGGCACAGCGCCTCCCAGCGAGCGAATGCCTACCAAGCCTACCTCAGCACTACTGGGCAGCGCCAGTGAGCATTGCCACGATGAGGAGGCCATCAACTTGACCAAAATGAAGCGAGGTGCCGGCTCAGCGGGCTACAAAGCGCTGCCGTACCCTCTGAAGAAGCAGAACGGCAAAATCAAGTACGAGTGCAACGTGTGCAGCAAGACTTTTGGACAGCTGTCAAACCTGAAGGTGAGGCTCCAGCCACTGTCAACGTCTTCCACGTCTGGCTTTCAAAAATGTATTCTTGTCTGATTTACTGCCTTATTATCAATCCCCTCCTTTGTACTGTGAGGAGTGCAGTGTAATTAATAGGCTGCAGAGCAGGTTTGCAAGCACTTAAAAGAGCTTGGAGCAGAAAAGTTGTACAGGAAACTATTTACACAAACTGACAGATAACTAAGTTCATTTCTGTTGTTTTTACTTTGCTGGTTTCTTTGACAATTGCAATATCTGACCATCTTCGCTCTGTGCTCTTCTCCATCGTCCAGGTTCATCTTCGTGTCCACAGTGGAGAGAGACCCTTCACATGTCAGACCTGTAACAAAGGCTTCACGCAGCTGGCTCATCTGCAGAAACACTTCCTGGTCCACACCGGTGAGAAGCCGCATGAATGCCAGGTGAGACACAATCCTACAGATGGCCTACTTTCACTGTGTTGATTTCCTTGTAAAAACAGTTGTGGCAGGAAGTTGTTTCTGACATCATGTTTTTTGCAACTTCTCCTCATCCAGGTTTGTCACAAGCGCTTCAGCAGCACCAGCAACCTGAAAACTCACCTCCGCCTCCACTCAGGGGAGAAGCCCTACCACTGCAAACTCTGCCCAGCCAAGTTCACCCAGTTCGTCCACCTCAAGCTGCACAAGCGCCTGCACTCCCGTGACCGTCCACACAAATGCCCCCACTGCCACCGCCACTACATCCACCTGTGCAGCCTGCGACTACACCTGAAGGGCTACTGCCTGGCAGTCAGCTCCGGCACCGGCAGTCCAGCCGTCTCCAGTCAGGCCGCCCTCGAGGAGGTGCATCGCGCTAACGAGGAAATTGAGCGCTTTGACGTCAGCGAGCATGCCGAGCGGCTGGAGCAGCTGCAGGGTGGCGTGGAGGTGGAGGCCATGCTGGAGAAGCAGGTCCTGGGGATGCTGTGGGGGGAGACTGACCTCAAGTCCTCCCACTTTCATCCCCGCCACAAGAGCGATGCAGAGCTTCTGTCCGCGGGTTACGGTGCATACGAGTCCCCGAATGAGACGTCGGTCATCAAGATGCGGCGCAGCAGCCCCATCCTGCCACTTCCTGCCAACGTCACCGTCAAGCAGGAGTCAGAGGATCACGCTTAAATGACCTTTGAAGCCAATGGACACGGAGCAGAGACTGCGTGGCTCAAAGTGGACTTGGTTGCCAAGAGCAACAGCTGTAAATAATTAAATTTCGACCTGGTTGTCGACAGGAGTGACATCATGACCACGTCGGGTTTTCAACCTATCAGGGACTCTTGTACTCAGGGCTACAACAGACACTGTCCCATGACTACTTTGCAGTTTAAGCGTTTATTAAACTAAGAGACAATCAACTACCCAGGACTTAATGTAATTAATATAATGCTATTATCATTATTGTTGTTGTATTGTTTTGGTCTTTATTTTCAAATGTCTTTTTTTTTTTGATTAATTAGTTGTTGTATAACCTCCTTAATTTATTATAGCTACTTTTGTTGTCTTTAAAAGCAATAAGTGGAATGAATGGTTACACTGACAGGGTGAAATCAATGTAAAAGACTGTTTCTGTTGATTTTGTTTTTCTCTGTGGCCATTTCTCTGTAGATAGTCACTCTCTCTATGCCTATATCTGTCCTGCGACCTCTGACCTGTAGAAGCAGGGGCGTCCACTCTTCAGGGTTTTATCTATTTAAATTTAAAAACCAGTATAGCAGGTTAAAAAGGGTTTGAAAAAACTTGCCAAAGTATGGCACATAAATTTGTTAATTTAGCAACAAGAGCTTTATTTCAGCCCTGCGCGACAGCTGCCCTCCAGTATGACTGTGTCTGATGCCCACTTAATTATATGAAACAAGAAGAGGGCATTTTTTTTTTATATTTTTCACAACGGTTACCTCAGTGTGCATGTGACGATATGAGTGTGTGTGCGTTTTAAGGGACAGCTGAAGGTGGGAGCTTTCTATTTATTTGCTTTCTTTGCTACTTGAAGAAGAAGAAACCAAACTGAAGTGGAGTGCAGCTCCTCGTGTGGTCCAAAGGAGCGGCGCCGCCCGCTCAACATGTAGCACATAACGGACTCGGGAGGCTGGTGAGCCGTCCCCTCCTCCTCCTCCTCCTCCTGTACCTTTATTTTTTTTAACAATACTGTCAAACATCCTCAGATTTGGGGATTTGCTCTTGACGCTAGTAACCAAAGTTGACTTCGATTTCAAATGCACACCAAAAAAAAAAGTGGAAAATGAAAAGAAGGGAAGGAAGAACTTGAGGAATGGAAACGCTGAAGAAGGGAAGATAAACTGTGTGTACATGAAGTGTTCGCTCTTTAGCTGTGGTCACTCGTTTTGTCGATGTTTTTATTTTTGTTCTTTTATTCATATTTCAGTTAAGAAACAAATGGCCCCTTCTTTAACCCCACCTGTCCGCCATCTTGTTAATGAACTGGCAAACACCAAAGCACCTCGGCCCTCTTTTATGCACTGGCCCCCTCCTCTTACTTTATAACTTCAGTGCCGATGCTTGCACCGTTTACACTGTGTTCATGGTATTTATGGCATTAAGACTCACCTTAATGTTTCTATATGGCAACTGCAGCAGTTGCACATCAACCTGAGCAGCTCTCTCTCTTTCCTCTGTTTCATTTTCTAACGTTCGACCAAAGCGTCTCTCTCTCTCTCTGTCTCTCTCTCTCTCTCCCTCTCTCTCTGACCAGAGCTTTAACTCCCAAAAGGACTGTCTCTGTTTACATTCTGGTTTACATAGTTATTTATGTGCAAAAATGTCAAAAAGTGTAAATTATGATATAAATGTTCACTGCTCTAATCTGAACCCTGTGGCTCTGTGTGTTTTATTCACTTTTCCTTGTGTTTTGGTACAACAGTCGTCTTAGAGCATGAAAATGGAAGTAAAGATAACAGTGTAAGAGCAGACAAATTAATTTTAATTCTTTTTTTGCACCAAAGTTTTCTGGAAACTGGAGAATTCTGTAAAAAACCTGTTTTAGTTCAACAGTAAAACAATATTAAGTTACATCCTGGACGGAAATCTTTCGTCCTGCTGAGGCTTAGGTGAGTAAAGATTATTATTAAAGTTCACTGACAGAGAAAATGTCACAATTAGCGTCAGAGGAAACAGTATGAACCCAGATGAAAAGTCAAGTCAGATATATTTCTATAGAACATTAAAACAACAGGAGTTTTATTGATGCTAATAAAATGAGTTGACAAGAAAAACACCGTAACAGGGGAAAGACAAGTTTAAAAAAAGACAAATACAGCAAAAGACAGGAAGCAAAGTTGGAAATTAACTAGAAAAAAACAATTAAAATAATATATATACATATATTTAATTAATTCTCTAAATATTTTCTTCAAGTCAGCAATGACACGTGGGTAAATAGTTGAAAACAATACAACTGCAGTCTGTAAAACTGTGAAATGAAGAAGTTAACTGACAGTGAAGAATGACCTGAAACAGTCTCACAGGTGTTTTCACTTGAATCACCTGATCACAGCTCTTTTTAAGACTTGAGCGCTGGGCGGCTGCAGCTGTGAACGCAGCACAACTTTCACCTACGCCACCCTCGTGTGATTGTTCAGTGGAAACCTCACATATTTCTCACTGTGACTCTTAACAGCTTCAGCCTGCAGAAATCTCAACTGGAGCTGAGATCAGAGTTTACAGAAGTTAATCACCTGATTTGAATGGTAATGTTTTAAAAATAACTGAGGCAAGAATGAAAAGAAACGAGGGCGGACAGACAGAATCATCATCATCATCATATACGCACCTGACCAATGACAGCGTGGAGCGTGTGTGTGTGTGTGTGTGAGTGTGTTGTGGTTTCAGAGATATGAAATAGAAGTGGTCGGTCTCTGCCACAGGGCCGACACAGTTGTTGTTCGATGTGCGTTGAAGTCAGAATGTGGAAAAAACCTGGAGGCTGCAAACAAAACATGTTGTATTTATATGTTTAGTTCATTTAAATAAAACCCCGACATTTCTTTCCAAGTGTAAAGAAACAGGATTTAAATTAGTTTGGAAGTGAAACATTTACCAAGTTCATATTTGAAGCTGAAGTTGTTGTGAATTGAGATTGTGTTCATGTGAATCAGGAAACTAAGTTTGACACCACATGATCTTTCAATGGGAGTCTCTGAAGCTATTTGATGAAAAGTTCAGACACAGTCTAATGATCCAGAGTAAGTGACACCACCTGTGTGCGTGTGGAGCTCTACAGACTGAAGAATTTGGGTTTAAAAGAACAGAGACTTCAAATCAGTTTTTTCCTTCAATCCACTGATTCACATACACATTTAACCAGTGACCCAGCTGTTAACCCGGCTCTTGGAAGAAAGTCATGAATCTTTATGTTCATTTCCGTGAGCTTTAAGACTGCAGCAGGAAATGGGAACACAGCTCTCTGTGTCCGTTGGGCTGCAGTAACTGTGGTCTGTGTTTTATCCTTCATGCAGGAGACAACATGACTCATTCTAGAGCTTCAGCTCAGTGAGACGTCCACATTCAGCAGATTCACCCATCTGCAGGGACAACCAATCCAACGCCGCAGCTCTCAGATCATAAACATGCGGCCAACAAGCTGAAGGCCAGAGTTGGACGGATTAAAGGTCAAAGGTCAAGCTAATATGGAAGATTATACCAGTTATACTATAATGAGAATAAACAGGAGAAACTAGATTAGAAGCTAATATCTCTATTATCATTAAAGTTCACGAAGGGCGTCAGTCATTTTGAAAGAATTCCATGTAGATGTTTTTTTATGGTTAACTTTACATCACTGAGGTTTAAATTCAGCAGAATAATGATAAAGTTCAATGTGAGCGTTCTCAGACATTTGACACAGGAAGTGATTTAACACATTTCCACCTCTGTGTTATTAAAGATCCCACAGAAAGTGACGAGTCGCTGTATGAGAGCGAAGAATCGATCCATTACCTCATCACCTGAATAGAAACACTCGCCTCCCTTTGACTCAGCATCTTTCACTTTTGCGCACAGCGCCGCTCTTTCCTGTTGTTCGATCTTATTATTACTATCAGGGAAACTTCTCCAGTCACATGTTGACACAGCAAGTTCCACTGCCTCAGCATCGTGACGTGGGGGTTTCACAGCACTTTTCTGACCGGGGGCAGACAGCTCCTGCCTGTGGGAGGGGGGATATCCCACAGAAAACCAAACGTCAGGGCTGTGTTCCACTCGCCTGAGACGAGCTGAGCTTTGTTTATCTGCTATCTGACTTCCCCACTGCGGTGATAAGGTTTCAAATTTTGTCTCATCTTTCACATGAACACCTTCTTACCAAAGTGAGACACCCATGATTTTGAAGAAAAGAGACGCCCACAACTTACAGTAAAAGGAAACGTTTATCTGAGACCTGGTCTTTAACTCAAACGTCCACGATGATGTCACTTTGGACCTCGCTTACATTTATGTCTATTTCACAGTGATGTTATATATTTGATGAGAACGGGAGATCGGCTGCATTGAAATGACTTGTGCAAACACCTAGAGAAGGAATTTCATCTTGATAAAAGACATTTATTTAAACTTCTGAGTACTTGCTAACGCTGTGAGGCCAACGTTAGTATTATTAGCAGTTTACTTTCCAATCGAGCAGAAATGTTGTGAGTTCAGCAACAAACTTCCTTGTGTTCCTTTTGTTGTTCCTTTTCTCACGAGGGACGTCCCTGGAGAAAAACTTCAAACAACATAAACATGGTAACCAGCTCAGCTCAACAGTAAATCCCTGTAGAGTCCGGTCTGCTCTGAGGATGTGGCGCTGCTCACGGGGCGTAAACGCAACGTTGGCTAAAGCTGTTGGCAGGTGACCATGAACGGCGCCGTCTTGTGGCAAGAAGCCAAGTTTAGTGAACAGCGTCTTCTTAAAAGCTCTGGTGCAGACGAGGATTTTCAACAATTTTAAAAACATGTGAGACAAACAGACATACTGACCGATTTAACCAATTTATAATCTTATAGTCGTTAGTGAGCAAATGTGACTTCAGAAGAAAAGCAAACATGGAGGAGGCGGACCCGATGTGTGATCTGTTAACATCAGAAAACAAAGGGAGTAATAATAACAATGGCAGATTAAGAGACGTATTGTTTTTAGTCACAGCTGTAGAAGAACGCAACATCTGGTTGGTGACGCTTCCCGGACGCTTCCTCCGAATCTGAGCGCGTTCACACCTGAACTTAGAGCTGCGGACTTGAGATTCCACATGTTAATACCAGGTGTGCACAGGTCCACTGACTCTGCGAGGCTTCTAAAGATAACTTTAAGTATTTCTTTAATATATCAACAGTTATTTGTTCTTCAAGGATCTCGATAATTTGACCGGCTAACGTTTCCTGTAGCGCCCCCATCAGGCTGGAACCTTCAGGATTTTCTGGGATCGAGACTTCAGACTGGTTCAGGCTGCAGCGGAGGGTCGACAGTAAACAGCAACTGTGCTGCGTCGTTTCAGAGGAAGTACTCGTGATTTACACACACACTTATTGAGACATGCATAAACATGCACACACAAACACACACACAACAGGAAATGCATTGCATTTAGTGCACAATCACAAACAAAAACCAGTGTACAAGCTCCTGAACTTCCAAACAGACACAAAAATGATACACATTTAACACAAACATTAAACATCCGTGTTTCATGTCTCTATTTACCGATTAATCATTTGTCTCGAGAGATCTTGTCAGTTTCCCCTAAAATGTTGTGATGACTTTCATAATGAAACTCTGAACCAAACCAACCCTTCAACACCCACGCACACACTCGCACTTACACACACACACACTCTCCATCTCCTGCAGCCTGCGTTCCAGAGTGACGCCGATGAAGACGTTTTCGGAAACCGAGTGGCGTCCCCAGGGGAGCTTTTATCGCAACCATCTCATAGAGCATCATCACTTCAGTTGAACACGACGGGGGTGGGGGGGGGGGATCACCGGTCAGGACGGGTGACTCACTCACCCCCCTCTCATCCTCAACCGACTTCCCCGAAATTCACTTTTCCTTCTCGAAAGTTTACAACATGAAGTCTCGGTTGTTTTTGGTGTCGGACAGAGTTGCAGAAGATTTGATTGGCTGAGAGTGGACGTTGCCAATAACAGTTTGGGGGGGATGTTTTTCTATCAGACATCAACATGGCATTAGCACACTGACGGCGCTACCTCGGAAAAAATATTGTAAACAAATGAGAGCTTGATGGAGACAGTTGGGAGCCAAATGTTTCCCCAGACTAAAACCACATTTACCATAAATCCTGTTGCTGCCTGTCACCAATAAGAGCTGTGCCTCCTCAGCCAGTGGTTTCCTCTTTGTCTTTACAGGAGAGAATAAAGATGTTGGACACATTTGTTTTCCTTTGTCTCCATCACAATGGACACTTCTTCCATTCAGATAGTAAAATATTTTTAGCCATGTTAGCGGCGTGGCGCCATCAATCGTTTGGCTCGGACAGAAATATCTCTACTTTTCCGAATCGCCAAAGAATGACTCCGAATTATTTTGGTGTCTCAACGACTCTCGGATGGTTCGGTTCAGATTTTCATGGATTTCGCTGGATGACCTTTGCTCCAGTAGTAGGTCGGTTGATGTCGGCAATAATGAGAACAATGTTAGAGCGCGCACCACATTTTTGGAGACGACAACATGACGCCAACAACGACAAATGCAGAAACCCAATCGTATCCTTATTTTTCTCTTTACTTTCCGATTCCAAACTTCTTCTACAGCGTTGATAATAAATTCCCAGTGTCTGATTCCACCGGTTCATTTTCCCTAAATGTGAAACACGTT